TCTTCCTCCCGGTTCGTACGAGATATTGCAGCTTGAGAAAGAGGAGATTCTCGCACCGCATACCCACTTCTGTACAATATGTGGCAAGGGTTTCAAGAGAGACGCGAATCTGAGGATGCACATGAGAGGGCACGGAGACGAGTACAAAACCCCAGCTGCTCTGGCTAAACCGAACAAAGAATCGTTACCCGGGTCTGAGCCGATGCTGATCAAAAGGTACTCGTGCCCATTCCCGGGTTGCAAACGTAATAAGGATCACAAAAAGTTCCAGCCTTTGAAAACGATTTTATGCGTGAAGAACCATTATAAACGCACTCACTGCGACAAGAGCTTCACTTGCAGCCGGTGCCATACCAAGAAGTTCTCTGTCATTGCAGATCTGAAAACGCACGAGAAGCACTGCGGGAAAAACAAGTGGCTCTGTTCCTGTGGTACAACATTTTCAAGGAAAGACAAGCTGTTTGGTCACATTGCTCTGTTCCAGGGACACACTCCTGCGATCCCTATTGAAGAAACTAAACCTTCAGCTGGAGCATCTGCTCAGAGAGAGAGCTCCGAAGGCGGTAACAACAACCCAGGAATGGTTGGTTTCAATTTCGGTTCTGCTACTAATGCTAATGCTAGCCCAGAAACCGCACAACCTGGAGCCATGGAAGGGAAGATAAGTTTTGAGGACTCTTTCTCGCCGCTGAGCTTTGATACATGTAATTTTGGAGGGTTCCATGAGTTCCCACGACCGATGTTTGATGATTCAGAGAGTTCATTTCAAATGCTTATCTCGAGTGCGTGTGGTTTCTCGCCCAGGAATGGTGGTGCCTCTGTCTCAAATAGTAGTCTCTAAGGTTTTGCCATATATGATAAATTATGTAAGATGTTCTAGTTTTTAGCCTTTAGGCAGCTCCTTTGCGTCTGTAATTTGTTTTCGCCAGAATAATGTCAGGAAAGCAAAAAAATGGATTTCCTTTCTTGAATTTGTTGCTTATACAAAAGAAAGTTAGATTCGCTTTTTCTTTCCTTTTGGGGTTCACATAGATAGTGTATGATGCTCATTGATAACAAAATTAGGAAACGAATTAACCATATCTCTCGAGCATTTATGTAATACCAACTAATTGGACATAAATGCCTATGTATGGAAAGTATATAAACCAAACCAAATATGTAACTACAATCTCGATGATTGATGTAAAGGTTACTAAAACTCACATCAGCTGTTCTTGAGAGCATGTATTCGTTGAATTGGGTCCATCCATTGAGTTATGTTTTTGGTGAACAAGAGAAAGATGCATTGAGCACTCAGAACTATCAATGAAAAGTTGAGAAAAAGTTTGACAGGACTTCTGAATCATTGCTTGTATCTCTCTCCACCAGCCATTCCTCTTGAATCTGTACCCTCACATCTCTATGACCAAGAATGATTACGGAATCAGCAAGACCATCTTACAAGAGATGCTTAATAATCAAAGTGAAGGCGTTTAAAATGAGAAAGATGGAGGGAACCTTTTCAAGGCAAGAACTTGATAGTTTCTTCTCAAGTAATCTGCGTATTTGGTAAGGGCTTCTTGAGCATATGGTCTCCCCACGGTTCTTACAGCTGCTGCGTTTAGTAAACTCTCCAGAGATCCATGTTTCCTCACAAGTTTCATCGCTGTTTTCCTTCCAAAGGCTGGGACCACGTGCTGAATCCCTGGAACTCCATCGACTTCATCACCCACTATACATCCTATTACAAAATTCATAGTCCTATTTAGCATAGCCAAGAACCAAAAAAAAAAACCACAGTTATTCTCTCGCCAATACCAGACTAGTATCTATCTCTGGATAAACAACTAGATGGAGTTGGTTTTCGTACTTAATAAAAGCAAAAGTGCACAGAAAGATAAACATAAGAGACATTCCTCTAGGCTCTAGCGATAAGTCGGTTCCTGCACTTACGAAAGCTCAAATCAGACTGTGGATCACAGTTATATTGAGCATGGTAGTGTTTCAAGGTATAAAAGGACCATCTTTTGAGATCTGCCAAAGGAATGACAATCTGAACATTTTCTGAGATCAACTGTTTAAAGTCTTTGTCGGGCGATGCAATAACCGCACGGTATCCTCTTTGCACAGCTTGTTCCATCAGTGTAGCCACCACATCGTCTGCTTCATGCCCTTCTATTCTAACAACCTTGCACCAACCAGTTTTTAATCAGATCATTCATCCACTTCTATGGCTGATTCATATAACAGCTATCATTATCATCTTCTAATCACTATATCCAACATTACAGGTCAATTTTACTCAAGGTATCCAACATTGAACATTGAGTAGAATAGTTTTACCCACTGGCACATTGCATTTTCTAAGAACTTCATCGACGAATTGATGAGGCCTTTTGGAGTTTCTTCCAGGATTTGGTGATTTCCTATGCGCTTTATACGAAGGCAGCAATTCTCGGCGTCGCTTGTTACCTTCTTCTCCATCGAGAACCTGCAAAGGAACGCTTTCACGGATTGGAGAAGAGGAAAAATTTTGCAGAATCAAGGAAATGACAGGAGAGAAGAATTGTTTACAGCTATGACAGGATCGGTGAGGCTAACTTGAGAGAAGAAGAGTGAGAGCCAATGACCAAAAGCTTGAGAGCTGGGCTTGTTTCCTTCGTAGCAAAGTGGACTAACGTCTAAGAAGAAGACCCTTTTCTTTTTCTTCCAGCTTTCTTCACTGATAGTAGAGAGAACGTCCTTTTGAGTAACTTGCCCATAACCTGTTCGATAAAATGTCTCAGCG